CGGACAGCAGGTTTCCTAAAGGGTACTTCTTAAAAAGGCCAGCTTTGGCGGTTGAAAGTAACGGAGGCACTTTTCTAAAATCTATAGTTCTAGATATACGGTATCAAGGCACAATAATTATAACGCAGTTGAATTATCGTTGACAAAGCCGAGAAGGGGCCTCGAGTCGGTGGCGAGCCAACGGGACGCCAAACAGACGTGTCGTCAAACTAACTCCAACTAATAATCCGCTGATTTAAAAAAGACCGCTAAATACTAGAAGTAAAGCGATAAACACATCGTTTGTTGTTGCTGTTGTTGATTAACATACATCGACAAATCTACTTAGGCAATGGCGGCTTGGAGACTGGCCGTTTGTATTCAAAGAATCTCCACACAATTTGAACGCCATAAGCATATAGGAAATTGTCCTGCCATATATCCTGAAATGAGTTTATTGGCGTTTATATGAGTCGAGCGAGTAACGATTGCAAGTATTGTACTTTAGATGCGGCACTTCAATTGAAAAACTGTCAGCGAATGATTTCCCTCCATTTCGAAATAAGGATTTCATAGATTCTCGCAGTCCTTAGGATTAGGAAGCAAAGAGATTGCATCACAGGCGAGACCGCGCATCGTCTAAAAGTCAAGCTCGCTAATATTGATATGTTTAAGGCATTATGATCCTATTAAACAGCACTTGGTGGGCAGAAACTATTGAGCCCATAACATTCATAGAAATTAACCAAAACGAGTTGACCCTTAGAAGGGTAATAGTAATATTACCTATTCTAGTAACAGCGAGTCAATTTTTTGTCTGGCTGAAAATGGTCTTCTGGCGTCTTTTTCCATAACGTCGTTCGTAAGCTTCTTCTAAGGCTCTCCCCGTGTCCCCGTGATAGCTTTGCAGGTAACGTATTTGCCTGATAATCACAGGACTAAGTTGTAGCTTAAATTTGGACCCGGGTATAGAAAGAGTTTGTTTTGCGGCGGGAGCCAGCCAGCCAGCCAGCCAGCCAGCCGTCTGTCTGATAGAATGTTCAACGGCGATATTAAACGTAACGCTTGAAATATAGAGAACTCCTCCCCGCACATTAGCCCATGGCATCTTTTCAATCTCGTCGTGATTTAGAGCAGAAATGATTCAGACAAGCTGGCCTAAGGTCATTCATAACAACATTGTAACTCCTACCTAAATATAGCGTTATTCGGGACAGCATTTACATCACTCAAAATCTATTTCCCTTTGCAACAATTTTGCCCTATACGTTTATATATACACAGGTAGATCATCGGTAACGTTATTGTTGTTACAATGGCGGGCACCGTGTATTTACGCTGCCTATCCATGCGTTAGGCAGCCGTCTCGGTGACTACAGAGTTCATTGCAGAGATCGTAATTAACGTTAAAGTCACCATAGTTAGAACCCTTTAAACCCTAATATCCAAAATAATGTTAAAACCATAGGTGGAACTGGGAGCTCCAAACTTCTCTACAATATCTGGTACTCAGAGCATTATATAATAGTTACTGTTCTCTATGGCGTAATTGTAAACTTAATTCAAACGTCGCCTACATACTTTCGTATGAAGCATACAATAATAGAGCCCACGTGACTGTGTATAAGCAGAGAAATAGCCTGACAGATGACCATGCTCAAACACCGAGTTACCTATTAAGCATAACCGTCTGACAAGAGACTATTTGAGTCATCGATGATTTTATATACCTAGCTCGTTACTTTGCATGCTACGAGAGTAGGTCAAACAGTTTCAGGAGCCTTCTACGGCTCCTTGCGAGCTACTTAAGTATGCAAAGGTCGGGTTGAACCGAGAGACACATTGGAAAACCTGCCCGATGTCATAGTAGTTGGTATTCTTTGCAGGTACGTAGGTAACTGCAGATTAAGCCGTAAGAAAGTTAAGAGTCCTTGATACAGATGTACGTGTCCCGCTATAGACTCAGTGCTGGATTAGTTACGTGTTCACCAATCGAGCTCGTGTGACGATGGCAAACAATGGTGCACAGTTACCGTACACAGGGGAAATCTCGGTTATTTTTTATATAGGCGTATTGCTTTTCAGCGCAAAAATTTCATGATGGCTTAATATTGATTGTCTGTGTTTTTCTAGAAACACACACTAATATCGACTGCTACCGATAACAATGGAACATCTAACAAGATTAACTACCCATTTACGCTATTAGGAACGTAATTGCTGCTATTAACCGCTACTTCTATCGGAATAGGAGGTCAATGATCTTAAATACAATAAGCAATGAGCTATCTTAAGCTAACGTAGTTAACTATAATTTACTCTGCACTGTAGTGAAAGGCAGGTGCCCAAGAATTGGGTGAGACGTTCCAGACTTGGTAGAAAAATCCGATAGTATCGGACAGGGACAGAATTGTCCCTGCGCACATATGAATCCTATTCAGTCGATACTACGAAAGTTAATGTATATTTTGCGATCTCGTCTTTAGAATGAAGTGATAAAAAGAAGGTCCTAGGTTAGGCCGAGTGGTATATTTCGAGTCGACTATACGGAAATGTCATGAGCCTACTGAGCGAACAAAAGCACTGGATTGAGATCGAAGATGAAATTACTTTACCGATCCTTTAGTGGATCATCTGATCGAATTCGGATCACAGAAAATGCCACTAGGATGCAATAAGGACGTGCATAGAATGTGTAACAATTTATAAGAATAACGTTAGTGTTTATGGCTTAATGAGACATAGAAGTGCAAACAACAATATGACATATTCTTGCAACTAAGGTTTCTATTTGTACGCTTTAGTTATATCGTTAGAATAGGCAAAAGTCTTTTGCCTGGTGCTCGTATAACAGCATGTTACGATGATAATAACTATAGTAATAATGCTTCTACATTCTAAGGCTACAAGGCTAGAAAACGACAACACTGAGTACTCACAGTAAATAGCCATAAAAATATCTGCGATCTTTCCTAAGAAATAGTTGTTAAAGGTAGCGAGCAAAACAGCCTAGGCTTCTGGAAATAGTGTACGATACTATTTCAAACATTCACGAACGGTGCTTTTACATACCTAGAGAGAGAGAGAGAGAGAGAGAGAGAAAGAGAGAGAAAGACATAAAATTTTCCCTGGATCCTTGCCTTTAAGTCATTTCAGAATTGTACATACCTGCCATTGTCATATATACCTCAACGCATATGTTGCCTGTTTTGCGAACATAATTGGACGACGACTTCTGCGTTTTATGCAGGTGGTAAGAAATTCTATCTGGCAAATGAGCTTTGCCAATGAATCGAATGCTGGCGTAACTGCTTCAATCAGAAAACTAGAATAGAATGCCAATAAATGTAACTTCGGATGAGAAGAATCCAATATTCAGTATATTCGCGGCAACAAATAATGATGATTTATTTTTCTCCACTAAAATGAAGCTTCTGTGAAGATTCGCATACCGATCTGGGTACAGAAATAATCCACAATATTTTTCGATATCAATAATTGAAATATCGGACAAAATTTGGGCTTCAATTCACTGAAGGCTCCCGGGATTCGATCGCGGGTAGGCGGTGTCAGGTAATACAGGTCAAAATACAAAACTACAGTTTAAACGAACGTTTTGTTCGATCTGTAGCCTGTAGGGAGTAGAAACAGGCAATTTTGGTGAGTTAGTTCAGCATTGACCCCCCCCCCCTAGAATCGCGTAATATGTACAACGTTTATACAATGCAATATACAAAACCTTGTTTATTAAAAACGTACAAAACGATTATAATATAATAGATATAGGACAGGCCTTCCGTGGGCTAATCTTGCCACCCGCTATGCAAACAAATAGTCAATATTGTTGAGAATGGCTCTTTCTGGAACGCTAATAAACACTCCACTAGGCAGATTATTTCTCTTAATTTCGAAATAATTGCTGATATCCCTGCGTCCTTACGTACCCAAAGTATTGGGAAATAGTTTTCTTTCGAGAAAAATATGTTGCTTCACAACTTTAATAGACTCATGAACGACATCACACTTACATTGTAGTCATCATGACGATCTTGCATATTTTGTAAGGTTGTATGATGAAATGGACACCACGCTTATGAGAAGCAAACAGTTCATCTACGCTATACCGTCGATCTCAAAGCGGCATTCGATAAAGCGTCAAAGGACCTGATTTTGTTGAAACTTATTGAAACAGAAGTCCCTTACTAGCTCACCCGGCTCATCGCTTTGATTCTGTAAGCGAATCTCATTACGGTACAGGATGACGCGTGGGAACTGGCTTCCACCAACAAATGACAGGAGTGCCTTAGGCGACAATTTCGACATTTTACTTTTCTGAGTCCACCTAAACGATCTTCCAAGCAGCACCATGAAAATCCGTGCAAATTGCTCTGAGGTTTAACAGGCATTGGCCCGCCTTCAACGGTACGTGGCGAGTACCACTTAAAAATCTATTTGGACGAGACCAAAGCAATGAAGTTCCAAAAGAAAGGGTCACTTGCAATAACGGACACTCTTTAATTGCACTCATCGCCTTTAGACTACGTGGAAAATTTTCGCTATATAAGCTGATTTTTCGGACTCCGGATTTCGTGCAAATAAATAATATCATGGGGCAAAGCTTCGCCTGGCAGAGGCCCCTGTGGGCCACACGATGTAGACTTATGTTTTAGGACATCTTTCTTGAACAGCATTGCCCAGTCGTACCGTTCTATGTTACACCTTTTTTCTATTTTATTTTAAATATGCTTTTATATTGTCTATGTACCAGGCACCTAACAAAGATGTTGATCAATAAATTGGTTCATGGGTATTGATGAGTAATATAACCACTTAAAAATAATTAGGGGTTATAAAGATTCAAGCAAACCTTGAAGTTTTATAGGAGGTGGAATTGGCGTACATGGTTGTAATGATGATTTTGACGATTCAACAACGTGATTTTAATTATTTATTTATTTAATAGGAACACCTTAGAAACACGAAACGTTGACAAAATATAGTGACTGGAAAAGAGGCTTAGGCAAGAGCTTTGCGGGTCTCCAGACGGAGCCTTTGAAGTGGCTGACAGAGCAGATCCGATTTTTTCCCTCAGTGAGCGATCTGAAAGATACGCAGTACTGTTTCAGTACTCTAGAACTCTTACCAAAGGCGCACATTTTTTTATATTAATAGGTCATGATACATCTGCATGGGAAAAAGGTAAATAAACATTTAGGAGTGCATTCTGATACCTTTTTAGTGAATGCCTAGGCATAGGCGACATCCAGTAGCTGTGTTCAGGCTCACCTCCCGCTGGTAGACCAATGCCGATCTGGGTCTAAGGGCCCAGACGAGCATAGGTAAGCGCATATCTGATCCGCGGAATAACATTGTTACTTGAAGTTGTTTAAAAGTATTATCGTTTCCTCTGTCGCTAAGGAGTTAGCATAGAGGCAATCTTACTGTGAATGATCAGTCGTTCAACTGTAAATCGAAAAAAGAAAGGCCTATGTAGAACCTTAACTTGATGAGTTATTATTAGGACGTTTTTGCATGCTACAATTCGTCAGAAAGCCTTGCACACGAAGCATTGGTCAGGAATAAATGCATTAATAGAGCAGTGACCTGGTTCACATGGGTAATCAACGGTCGTATGCCTGTGATTTGCATGTTAATTGCAAAATATGCAAATAATGGAGGAGTTTTCGGTATTGATCCCCAAATCTTGCTCCTGACTCAAAAACGACGCTACTGTTCGTCCTCGATAGTCGCACCTACGGTAAAAAACCATTCTGTGGTAGTTGAACTGCGAGAATTGCCTGGAAGCAAAGTTTAAGTGAACGATTTTAAAAGGTACGGCCAAGTGATCCGAGACGACTGGCGAAAACGTGGCCGATACCGAACACACCAGTTTCTTCTGATCTGTGAGTACTAGGTCACAAATAGGTTCGCTTTTGGGCCTAGTGATCGTTATGGCAAGTCGAACAGGACAGTTTAGTAAGCAAACGCTCGGAAGATTGCTATTCTTAGAGGAACTGGTCATGTATGCCTTTGCCGTGGAGTTGTAGGGAAAATGATCAATCAGTTGGTGGATTTTTAGGAGCCAACCCCATTCAACAAAAGCATTGCATCGACGGTTTGTTGACAGTACGTACAAGTTGAGTAGTTCTCTCTACTACAAAATAAGATTATAGCTAACAATATGGGTTTGTCTTGCGAATTTTTCTAACCAATCGTTGTTGCGGTGACATAACTTTCCTATAGTGAAATACTTCTTCCTCGACGTAACTCTATTTCAACGGCTTCCCTCTAAGTAAGTTGAACAGCTAATGTTACTGATGATAAAGGCCTCATTCTTCTTTTCAAATCACCATTATGATATTTTCATCTTTTTCATCGTTCACGTCCGAACACATCTACAATGACAACGGAACAGACGCGGCCATAAGTTGCAACAGTTGCCCTTTTCTTTTCGGCGTCTTGTCTAATATACATGCATAACGCCCTATGTGTGAGCAATATACGCGAATCAGAACCAGACCTGTCAAGCCTGAAATTGTCCTAGACTAGGCCTAACTACCCAACTTGTTACTGGAGAACTAGCGTCAAAAAAACTAACTTTCCTTTCGTTCGTCTTCGTGTAAAGGGCGGGTCCGATAATGCCCACAGCTGATACGCAAATAGTAAATAGCGTACGCTCGCATTTTTCCACGGCGGCGTCGCGAACTCCCTCGATTCTCACTACTATTGGTGACTACCACAACAATTTAGAATGACAAGATAGATGGTTGAAATGTTTTGACGACGCCACGGTCAGGTTCCACGATATCCGTGACGAATTCTAGTGGTACTTATTGTTTCTGCTGCAAAGGATCAGAATTTGCCCCACAATAGCTAGATGGATGGGCTAAAAGAATGAAATTCAAATGCCATTTCGAGGGTCGAGGACAAGCATTGAACTTCATGTTAGTGACCAGTATGCATCTGCTAGTCAGGCAACGGCCGCACAGGGTACTGCAGGGTTTGGAAAAGGTTCTCTTAAGTATTCTCTGGGTCGGAAAAACCTACTTCAAATAGCCAAAATAATAGCAGACGTTGAAAACAGTCGCGACGATGTACGTCTAGAACCTTATTGGGTCATTCAGGTTATCGTTATGATCACTCGCACGTTGAGTCGGATCGAATATGACCGGAACCAAGATGGCATGAAGAGAAGATGTAAGTGTCTTGCCAACGCTCATGCGATTTTCTAAGTGCGAGCTAATTAAAACGACGTTATCCGATGACGATTATTTTTACTTGTTTTGTGAGGCGGGACTGCGCCGTAGCTACGAGTGTATATGGATGAAATCACACCTTCCACAAACACGTTCCAATTGATGTGCTAACGCGGCTTTGCATATTAATAGTTATTTTTTACGTTTTTTTTTTTCCTTTTCATCGTTATTCATGTGTATATACCGTGGGCTGTAACGACCGTAACATGTATACAGACATTCGAAAAACTCAATTCGTGTACGTACCAATAAAAGAAAAAGGTTAAGTACAAGAGAACTTGGCTACTTTTACCGAAGCTGAATTCGACGAAGCGACACACTGAACACATACAGTTCTAACTTGAAAACCGTTAATAATTATTTAGCTCAAATGTACAAGTGCCCAAAGCCAAAAGGGGCCTTACGACGATACGGAACCAACAGAAGGATCGGTACAATATGTCTTCTAATACTGTTTTAGCAAATTATTCGTATCCGCCTCAACATGATGAAGAAGCATGTAGAGGTGGCTGTTTTCCATAAGAGATTATTGTTAAAGTCTTCTTCGCGCATATCGGGCTTTTACACACTTCTGGGTAGTTGCCACGATAATGCTGGACTCTAGCCAGCATTTCTGAGCTGCCTAGTACTGGTAGCTACCAAATTCACACCTTCTATTATCTGTGTTACTACGTCTCTACTTATTTTGATACTAGTCCAATTAGTTTGAGAGGTGACTTAGCAACGGTGAAACCCAATGCGGCCTTCTTATTTTATTACTTATGTAGATTAATAGAAATGAACTATTTGTACACCGGTACGAAAAGCCCCTGTAACACAGAGTAGCATCTAACTAATTCAGGAAGTAATGCGGACGGATACGCAACAAACAGATTTTCACATTTGCAATTCACAAGACGCCAGTGTTCGCGTGGCCATACTCCAGGTTCGATTGGACGACGGCTCGTGGGCCTGTAGTAATAGAGATCACCGTCAGGATTGGAAATGCATGAACGGGCCAGAATACTGCCATGTGCACTACCGACTGTGCTATTTTAGCTGGTATCACGCCACAACTACGTCTACATTTACGAAAGGCAAACGTACCGCTTCTTCCTGTGGCTCCATCTACTTGTTCCTGTCGCTAACTGGTGAAGATGTTCAGTGCCACGAAAGATACAAAAGATAGTATAGCTTCCGCTAGATGGCTTTCTCATTTAACAGTGGAGTAATCAATATCTAGACGGCGATTGTACAGTTCTAAATATGTGGCGCTGGACGCTTATGTGGTATCTCACAAAGGTGTCGTTTGTATACGCTAATGCCTCGACTAGTCTCGACAGAAGTACGGGAAAGGAAAAGCTTTTAGTCTGCGGCAGAACTTTCACTGCGTCCTTGGCTGGCAGAACATCAGTAATAACCAACCCATGGTTTTTATCACGTTTGCTTACGTCTATTGTGAAATGTTGGCATTAGCTTGGGCAGCACTATGGTCAACGAAACCGGATAATCCCATTTTTTCGATACCGTTGACGTTAAACAACAAAGTAGGTATACACAATGAAGCAGACGGTTAGTCTGTACGAACGTCTGCTAACGCATAGGACAGCGTGGAATGTTCTGGGTCAGATACGACAGTGGGCAGCGTTGCATTTGTGAAATTGCAAAGGGCGCGCATACACCACAAGCGCGTACCCGTTTGATGACCCAGGAAATGGGAAGCGAATCCCAGGTACGTTACAATTATTTGGAGATATTGACAAAAGATCATATTGTACACATGAGACAAAAATGAAATGTATGGCTCGCAATAGTAACTTGGTTGATTTACACAAACCGTACAACTTTTATGTATGGTTGACAGGACCTGAAACAGAGATCCTACACTGACCTGCTTCAACCCGAGGCTCGGTGTCATTCGCAAGGGCAGTTAGGATTTAAGGTACAGCCAAATATTCGACAACTTTTTAAGTATAGCCTTACGTTAATTCATATTGGCATGTTAGCCGTATTATGTCAGTAAATCTCGAATAATAAAATAAAACCTTCACGTTCTACACATCAGTTCAAAGTAGAAGGAGGATTACTTAATAAATCGAAATGTCCTGTCTAGCCATGTTTCGGTAAATACAAACACCATATAGTAGTGAAACTTTTTGACGAAACGAGTTAAGTTTTGGCGAAACGAGACTCTATATGCTACGACGTTCGTATAGCAGATAACACGTATGTTACGCAAAACAAAAGGTAAAATTCGCATTAGAAAGATAATGTTGTTTAAGGTTCTGCTACAAATGGGCCTTATTAGAACACCTAATATGGCTGGATTGTGAGACCTGATTGATTTTTGTTCGTTTCTAATCTCACAAAAAATATAGAAACTGAAAGACGACAACTGATGTAGCCTCCTTTGATACTGTCCTAGCACAATGGGTCAAAGCTTTTAGCTGGCACCCACAAGATTGTTGGCCAGACGTAGATGCTTAACATTGTTCAGTATACGCGGCACACATGAGGATTTCAAATTATAAGTAACGGCAAATAGATGGCCAGAAGGGTGTCCGTTTAGTACTGAACGGCGAACACAGATCTAAACGAATTCCGAAACCGGGAAATAGACTCAGAAATAGAGGAAATCGAGCGACAGTGGTCATCAGGCATGCTTTTCACTTGGTTCTGTATTAAATTGAGTAATTTGTTTCGCTATCAAGTCGCCTACCATATATAGTCCAGGGCGCAATTAAAACGAATGCGCGATGCATTTAGTTACCACTGTATAAATTATTGCTACCCGAAGGATTTGCTTATTGCAAAATTTTCCCTGAAATCTTCACGTAAGTGATCATATTTGACAATGTAAAATGTATTCTTCTTGATTTATTTGAAGGTGGATAACATTTTTTTACTCTATTGTTATTATTAATAAATAAATAATTTTAAACAATTGTACTCTTGGCACCCCTCTGAATAAAGATATGTCTGGCACAATACTGTAAAGTCATCTCATCACATCTGTCCTAAAGGTGCCTCTTCCTGGGTATAAAAAAGTTTAAAATATTGGCAGAAAGTCCTCATCTGAAGCGGCTTGAGTTTCTGCGCTTACAGAAATAACGGAAAATATTTTAATAGTGCAATATTCGGGAACTCCCGCTGAGTTGAAATAGAACTGGAAACGACACGAAACAAGCCACGTTTGTCACGCTTCCTACCACGTTTCAACACTATAACACGCCTAGAGATGATTTGACAAAGAACTTACCGCAGACAGATACCGCGGAAGCGAATAGCTCTGTGGAATCTTAATCCTAAACCTAGAATAAATGGGTCGAGAGGCTAAAACTAAATTTTTGGTAGGTAAAAACTTCTCCCTGTGATAACTTAGTGGTTTTGCCTGCTAATACTTATGGACACGTTATGGTCTAGATTTGAATCTAGGTACAGCGAGACAGTTCGTTTTGTGCTGAAAGCCAGACGTGTATCTGATGGAATGCTTTACGCTGATACTGGACGTAAAACTCGAAACACAGAGGAAAAACTATTCAGACACAAAAGTAGAAATAGTTCAAGTTACGGAGAGATATATAATGAAAGAGAAAAACAGAGGAATGGGCTGAATGCCTGGATAAAATCCTATTCACCATCGCAGGATACGCACAGCTCCTACGAGAGCAGAAGAACGTTTCGTGTTCTCATCTGAAAACAGATCTATCAAACGAAAACAACCAGAAACATGCTACTTCTTCGAAAGGACGGCGAACATCTGCAACATTTTTTTAGCCTTTAATCCTAAGGTCATTTATCATCATACATATGGTAGCGAACCAGTGTTTTAATAACAACCCACAAAATTCAAACTAAAATTGGATTTAAATAAAGAAAGATTTCATTATAAACAGTTTAAATTGTAGATACGGTAAAAACCGATACCCAAGGGTCGTCCGCAAAGGATTCGCTTATGGATATGATTGGGGTGCGGTGTTTTTAGGAAAATTAGCAAAGCAAAATCTTTTCTTCGCCTCTTCTTATCACTTTTCGTATGTGAAATAGGAGCCTTTAACAGTAAAGCCAGAAATCAACTTGAACTCTAATGATTTCACTCACAGGCAACAACAGTTCACAGGCAAACAAAGGTCATATTTGAATACATTATCAACATATTAGACAGTGATGAGCACTTCTTTGTATTTTTGTCGTCATTCGACATCGTATGACCTTTTTGCTTTTTTTTTTTTTATCGTTTAGCCGATTTATCATACATATACCTTCACACCAGAAATCTTCAGATATGATGTTGAAGAACTCATCTAGTCAAGCTTTGCGATACCTTTCTCTGTCAAGTAGACAACTGCGAATTTCATTTACCAGATACCGGAAAAGCCGATCATCCATCGTAGTAAAGTCTGGAGAATACGGTGAGTACCTGACAAGATGCCTCAAAATAGTTTGGTCTACTCAGGTCATCTTCCCGACCAGTTATTGAGTAGTTTTCCATCTAGGACCCTCGTCGACTTCGAACGCTCGATCGGGATGAGGTACATTTTCCAGGTCTAAATTTCTATTTCTGAACTCAGTAAACCCTTCTAGCAATCCTCTAAATCATAAAGTCTTCGTTGTACACGTTACAAGTACACCCGGCTAGTTCGCAAGCCTTTAGCGTTAAAACTCAAAATGGAAAAAGTGTCAAAAAAGCACTTAATATAAACCGAAAGTATTTATGTTTCAACCTGATGTATTATAGTACATTAGGTAACAACCTAATATATATATGACGCATGAGAGAAACTTTGCTTACCAGCTTAGAAGTGAGCTCCATTGTTACATTTTTTCCGCAGCTGTTGAATCCTAGAACACAAGTCTATGAAGGCTCGAAAGGCACTTTCGACGTCATGTCGAGACTCAATACGCAAATGATTTATTCTACTGCTAAGAAGTTGTCGAAAATTTAATGAATAACAGACAGTCTCCAATTGTAGGTTCTGCATTTTGCGGTATAGGTTGTCGTGCATCAGTTGAGCTTGTACCGAAGCATCAATGAAACACCATAAGCCATTGCGGCTGTACATTTGCTATAGAGTGATGTCCCGGTAGTACCCACCCATTGCGGCTATACACTTTTCATCATAAATCATAATTCGGTGCGAGTAGACTAGTTTTATAAGCTGAAGACAAAGGGACACGAACGTCTCTTCGTCCCTTTTGCTCAAATAATCTTACGGCTAATAATCCAATATTGTTACCCTATTGATTCGACCCAACTGAATAGGTATCGTATTGTTATATATATAGAACCTGGGCGCTAACACCTGTACACTTTGATTGAATGTGTCGGCTTCTACTGCAACTCTTCGTTATTGACCTTTGCAAGGAGCTGCCGATGAAACCCATGTTCCAATTCTAAAAATCCCTTCCGAAATTTTTCGAACGAACCGTATTTCTGGTAATGCAATTTGGATGCAAGACGGAAAGCTTGTACGGCCAACTACGTCTACCGCCACAGTCGCAACATGGAACCCGTATTCGTAAACTGCCTACATTTTTTATTTTGCATTATTAATTTCCATTTACCAACAACAAACCTGAAAAGCAATACTCGAGTGCACGGTCTGAGATTTTAGTAAGTACAGGTGCCTTTCGAATGCAAAAGAAGAGCGAACAGACTGGACCTCGACAGAAAATGCCCCAAGTTAATGGGCGGTTGGCTTATCCGAAACAGTTAAGTTAGAACTTACTAATTAAAGAGGGCCTTTAATGTAATTTTTATCTTTTTTAATTAAGCTTTTTCCCTGTGCAAAATAATATTTTATAATGCTTGATCCTTCTTTTGGATATAACAATGTATAAAAAAAAAAAAAAAAAAAAAACTTTTCTCAATGGCTTACTTAGCAAAAGTCAAAAAAGACCGCTCGTGATGTTCATTCAAAAGGGCCTGAAATACAAGCCAATCATATAAACTTATCGTAAAGTTTCACGTAACCCTGTCTATGTGTTCGGTTAGCCATGCGAAGAATATAATCGACCGTCCAGGCGAATATGATTTAGGCTAGTTGGAAATATAGGACACAGGTTGAAGATACGAACCTTGCAATGGTCGACTTTTTCCATATAATATAGTCTGGAAATGTCACTTATTTGTATGTTGCATGTGATCATCTGGGACTATTGTTTATATAGATATGCTGAGCTTCCAGGGCCTTTGTGACGTCTAATTAATCCCTTCAGCTAATAACCGATTTCCTTTTTTGCGACATCCAAAGCCCAAGGAAAAGAGCAATGGTTAACTCTATATTGGCTTTTGACGGCTTACATGAGCCTATTAAAGTAGAGGGGATTCACCTGCTCTCAGGCCCCTTTCTTCACGTTCGATAGAGCTCTGCCAAGAAGTGTCTTCCAAACGCGCTGACGACCATTAGTAATTCTAACGAATTGTTCGGAACTAAAACAAACGGATCGTTTCTGGGTACGGCCCATTCAGCCGTAACACTGCCAAATTGATCTTGAATAGAAATTACGAGCTTGCAATGTCTCTGTTACCATATGTCGTACTTTTACAAGGTCTTAATGCGTAAAAGATCGAATGCGAAGGCTATACGAAGAGCCTTACACCAAGCTATTCATACGTTTCACTACAGTGTCTCAAATAATCTAGCCAGCTAGCAGCAATTTTGTGATGTGTTAGGTTTTATTATATTGATGTCATTTGCTTCCCATGAACGTTTGTGCTACTAACACCTTGCTGATAAACAATTACTTATTCATACCATTAGTCAAAGCTAGTTATATCACGACCCATAGAGGTCAATGGGCTTTGACGGAAAAAAAATTAATCTGCGTGCTTCAGTTAAATAAAGCGTGTCTTCATCATGTGGCCTTCGTGGTCGCTACCTGTCGAAGCTCAAATTGAAAAAAAAATTTTCAGTGCTGTATATGTAGTAGCTTTGTGATAGAGCCATTGTCTCTTACACGAGATACACACATTCAAATGACATAAGACAGACCTTTTTTTTTTTTTTTTTTTTTTTAATTTTTATGTTCCTTTTTCTGAGCGGTTTGAAAAAGCTCAGAATAAGAGTAAAGTTAGAATCATTCCTCATTCGTTGAGAGGCTGTTCTGATCCAAATAGATTGTTACACAAGTACACACCAATCGATTTTAGACGCAAAGCCAATCAACAACCGCCAAGGCGAACACTATCATCAGGCGATCGTATCGTATAATGACGCTAACGTAGAAGCGCGATACACACACACCACCACCAACCCATCCACCAGAGAGAGAGAGAGAGAGCGAGAGAGCGAGAGAGAGAGAGAGAGAGAGAAAGAACATATGTTACATACATAACAAGAAAGCACATGATGGATCTGCTAAGTTCACATGTCGCATACATCTTGTGTTTTGAAAAGACGTAAACACCAGCATCGTGAAAAGCCAGTTCTTAGACGCCTATTTTACTGATTTGGTCAGATAGATGTTTGTTATTGTTAGTGACTGTGACTAAACTTGAAGAAACAGGTGCCCTCGCCCGGGACCTTCTGAACCGTGCTCAGCGATCATTTTGGGGTTACATTTTAATGAACCACAAGTCTATACCAGGTATGAGCTGCTGTCCATGGTGCCCGCTCTTGCGATAGGTGCAAATATCTCAAAGTGCTCATTGTCGCTCTCTCAAACGTATAGAATAAATCCCGTCGAGTGAATCCCCAATCCCGTATATATGATCTGTGGACAGTGCTCAATATTGCCAAGATAGGAAAATTTTACTTACACAGTAAAGGTTTTCAGCGCTCTGAAAGCGAATTGTCCACTGACGTACTTCATGAGGGGCAGGCTGGAAATATTAGCATTTTAGTCATTGAAACCTTTCTTACCTCAGCCGCGTTGATCATTAACAACAGTATTGCCAAGTCGGCTAACTTTGTGAATTACTGAGATCGTTTTGATATATTTTAGCAAGAACTTTCGGATGTCGCAAATTGAATTGGCGGTCAATACGATTTACTGTTTGCGGGGTAAACACTATTTTTACTAGTGATAGCAAGACGCTTTTATAAATTGTAAGATACAACGGCAATATACGCGATGCGCTACATAAACGCAAATATATACCGCCGTGTACGCATATAAGCGATGCTAACTAAACGTGCTCTAATTTTCAAATAGGTTTACACAATGTGAACCTGCCTGTCGCTATAATAGTGCTTTAGGGATACGTAATGGACTAGGTTCAAAGCCTGGAATAAGCCAACATCCGGTTCGTTTAGCAGTCTAAAGTCGTGCCAAGTGGTACTCGACTGATTCCAGATGTCAAACTCCAAATATTTGATGTCGATACGTACGCGTGCGTCTCCAGCGCAGATCCAATGAGCCATTTAAGACTTCCACAGTGTGTACAAGAGGAACGTATAGAAGCATTATAAACAACTTCATCAAACTCATTGTAATGCAGGTGTTTTCGACGATACTTTATAAACACTAAGCAAAAGTTGTTTGAATTTTGCCGATTAAAGAACAATCTGTATTTGGCTGGAGCGTTTTATTTCCTACTGTTCCTGAAGCCACCAGAGGCTGATTCAATGTCCAGCCATATAAGCACCTTCACGTGGCCTGCTTTTCTTTTCCTAGCACGCACACGAATCTGAACGCTTCCGCCTCTTGCCGTTGTTGTTTGCGCAGCAAATACAGACTATTGTATTATATTTTTTATTTAAATTTATTAAATACCAGACGCTGCTTAAGACTGATCGTTATACAGACATCTTACAGAGCACACGTTAAATAGGGCCGTCGACAACTGTGTGACACGACAGAAACTCAACAACTAGTTAGCTTATTAAAAGCGTCATACAGCATTATATACTGTAAAATAAAAAAATTCTATCAGAACCCCAGCTACAGGATGAGTTTACTGCTAACAATACGTATTCGAGTAAGATATTGAGTGAATTGAAGGTGCGCGCCAGAGTGCTTGATTAAGTGAGACAGCCGGAAAGAATACCTATTAATGAAATATGCTAAGATCTGATCAACTTCGCAATATAAAACAGGTTGGTCCATTCCATAATAGCATTGATGATCGCTTCCTCTGTGATTCGGGAGGGAATGTCCGCGGGGTTCTATTCGACAGAAATTAATTCAGCAGTTCTGGGTATTCAAAATTGGGGAACTCAAAGATCAGATCATTATCGGCCTCTAACAATTGGAAATCTTGGAAAAGGCCTGGAACAGCGTTACCCGCAGAAAGAAGTGGTCTCAAAGACTAATAACTGACTTCCTGACGTCTCGCGGATTTTGATACAGGATTAAATAAATATTCAAAGTAGTCGAAAGGAGTTGCTTACTTTTAACTCTGTTTTATTTTTTTATCTTTTAAACTAAATTGGTTAATGAAAAACACCTCTCATCTAGTGGCCTTATAGTTGTTGAGAATTTTTTAACTATGGACAAGTTTTTATGCGGTGTCGCTCTGCCAATCGTTGCACAACTGTTCTCGTTCATTATTCCAGTGTGTATATAAGCACAATATAAATATAATTGCTCGAATCAAATGACTTATAGGTTCTTATTACCCTATTCTGTCTTAGTATATTTTTTTAGTTTTACTTTTACTGCCATTACCTTAATTAAGGGTTGCTTTAAACGACTGCAGCGCCCATCTGAGGAGCTTAAAGCAAAGTGTCGTTTGCCCCTTTTTCAGGATAGACCAGCTCACGTGTTTGTAATTTTCGTAGGCAAATATTCTACCGCTACAACCGTTTCTTTTAGAGGTTGGTATTTTTAGATTAAGATAAAGCTTTTTCTTCTTCAAAAATTCTGGCACAGATAAACAATTTCTTTTTGGGCCCAAGTAAACACAGCTTAATCTTATCCTATGAGGAAGTATTATGCAAACAAAGCACTGTTCGCTTCGGAGAAATGAACCAAGGCCGAGAACTACGCAGAGCACGTGGGGAGCAAGATGTTGTATATGTCACGATCTCCAATCGGAAATTTTTTCCCCTTTAATCAAACCACACAGTAATAGATAACGATCGTAAGCCGCCAAACGCTACGCATAAATAGCGCCATCTCCTTCGTCGTCGTGCACTGAGTGCCGCTTGTACAACAAGTGCCTGGGTCGCAATGCTGCAGGCTAAGAGATCATAGCGGCCGTCCAGTTGTTCCTGATCGTCCTGCTGGCCTTGCACAAAGAGAGAGCACCTTGTGGCATAGGGGACTAAGCTAAGGTGTTATTGGGTGAAGTGCAACAAATAAAAACTTGTGAGGTAAGAGAGTGACTATGATCCAGATTGAAACATGCATCTCAATTACGAATAAACAGGTTTTAACACTATAGGCTAGGATTGGGCACGTGAGAATCCGAGCGCCACATGGGCCTTGAGCCATGTTAAAGATGTGCTTTCCTGTGAGCCTGTGAGCTACTGGAAAAAGTTTTCGGTTTTGTACACTCTTGTAGTAACGTGAACTCAAACGACTACCCAAGGGAAAGGATGACCATGCGTTTGTCCTTTGTAGTAGTAAATGACAGAGACAACAATGCCGCTATGTTCGCTTATCTGAGTGTCAAGTCAGCTTTCCATCAGAGAAAAACGCGGACCAACGTGTGATTAGATGTTCGACACTCTGCCTTGACATAGATTACATTCTCTGCTGAAATCTTACTAGTTCGTGTACACTCTGTATCGATCTTTCACGTTAGCAAATGTTGAACCTCAATGATCCTTAATGCTGTTAATAAAAACGTTTATACACGAGCTGCCTGTTCTGCATTCGTCCGAGTGTGTTACCTAGGGTACTTGTATCTCTTTTCACATAGAAGAGGTTTGACAACTACGTCTCAAATCGCCTTCAAAAAGCATACTAAAACGGCACAACATTACTATATGTACACTCTGATCGAAAAAAATCATCATCTATGAGCAAAGCAAACTCTCATTTTACGCCTATCTAACAAATGATATGGTTCCGCCTTTCGAGACGCTAATCGCATCTACCATCTTATTCACTTGAAAACATTGCCGGAAAACTTGCCCGGTACGTAAACTATTAGGCATTCATCCAGCTGCAATTGAAGTTTGCCTATCTACCGCCAACTTCAAGCGTGAGGCACCACGTATGCGTCCCTAAGTTCCTAAGCAGGCGAGCACCGTGTCCACTGCGCTATCACATTGACATGGCTTAATTATCTAACTATATTTTATTTTAGAATTTAAATCATTTACTGACGCTTGTTATCTTGCTTCTTATTGCGACAGAAATTAATTCGCTCTGCTCAATATGCCCTCCACTAGCAAATCAACCCTTCAGATTTCCGTTCCGCAGTGTCTACGTCGTTCCGCGTCCGCAATCGCAATACGTGAAGGTGGCTCGAGATCTTCAAAATATTTTAATAAGTTTGCCGCTGTTAAATATTTGCTGCTTTCTATATATATATGTGTCTGCCCTTGTTTCAAATAGAATGGGAGGCAAGGAAGCGACTGGGCATATATTAAAGTCACGTACATCACCAATTATACCATGGTTTCATATTATTTGTATATATACTACGAAACTACCCGAGAGGCAGCGTTATCATTATTTTTGTTTAAAGGTTGTATTTCCGTTAAAAGAAAGCAGCAAGGTTTGCTATTGCAAACATAGCTCATTTGCCTTCAGACGCTCCTGTTTTTGCAACAAGAAGAAGTAAACAGAAGGCCAGACTGGGAGGCATTCAGGCCGCTGGCGCGTGGACTTTGTCAGGCGAATAGCGACCTAGCTGGCAGGCCTGCCGCGTCTCACTATCCAACGGCAAACACCGGCACCTCATTTTCTCTGACACTTCATCTTACGCGGCGCACGCAATAACTGCGAAGGGTGCTGATTCCAGAAATACCCGCAGAGACAGCAACGTTATTCTAATCCACTGATGTACTATGCGCCGACATCGACGTTCCATTCGAGTCTTTTTTTGGTTTATGTTGTTATTCGATGTGTGCTATATTGTCTGTGTTTTTTTAGGACAAACAGGAAGCAAAAATAGGTAGCACGTAAAAGATATGCAGGACGAAAGGGAAGATCTCCCTTCATAAGTGGAAGCAAGTTTGAAATCTTGTTTATTATTGCTTGGCTACGATTCCTTTGCAAATTAGCATCTTATTATTTTTAGGTCCATTTCCGAGACGTGCATAACGGACAAGGTTTTCGGTAAAGGAGACGATACTAATTGCTGGCTGTAACTGAAAATGTCCGCGAGGACAGATGGCAAGGAAGTGAATTTCTATTCAAGAGGCAACGCCGGCTGGGGTTGTGTTCGGCCTGCGGGAATGCCAGCAACTTTCAACGGGGTCGTCATATGCAATGGCAGCCTGCCTAAGCGGGTTCAATTAACGAAAAACTGTTTGTGATCATTTGAATTCAAGATTGAAAGCTACGTTTCATCGTTTATGCGTAAGCGGTCGAGGTGAAGACGTGGCAGAAGAAGTTTGGGAAAAATGAAGAAACTATTCTAGGGCGATTCGAGTGTACGTCAGATTACAGGGCAAGTTATGTTAGTGAATCACAGAAGAAAAATTTAATTTTAGATTGACTTGTTGCAGTTCCTCATTTCGGGTGTACAC